AGACATAGTAGGCATTTCAAAAAGTGCGGTACATCTCATATTAACTAAAAATTTGGATATGAGAAAGCTGTGTACAAGATGGGTGCCGCGTTTGCTCACACTCGAACAAAAACAGTGTCGTGAAGATGTTTCATTGAGTGTTTAGCGAAGTTTCACAGTAACAAAGCAGAATTTTTGCACCGTTTCATAACCATGGATGAAACATGGGTCCATCACTTCACATCTGAAATAAAAGAACAATCAAAACAATGGACTGAAAAGGGAGACCCGGCTCCAAAGAAGGCGAAGACCGTTCCATCTGCAGGCAAGGTCATGGCGTCGGTTTTTTGGGATGCGCCTGGGATAATTTTCATTGACTATCTTGAAAAAGGAGAAACTATCAACGGCGAGTATTATGCGAACTTATTGCAACGTTTCAGGGAAGAAATCAAGCAAAAACGGCCGCATTTGGCTAAGAAGAAAGTGCCGTTTCATCAAGACAATGACCAATTTTCTCCATTTTCACAAATTCGTTGAAAATGTTCACTATTGATGCCTGTCAAACAAATACTAAACGACATGGCGTCTTCAAACTTGAAATATATGCTTTATGGATTGTGTACTTTCTAATACAGTGATATCCATATGACTAAATAAATAAGACCCATGAAAAGGATAGGAAGAGTAGAATCATGAAGGTACGAGCGCCACCTCACAGTCGTTCGAAACACTGCCATCGTAAGCAATATTTATTTATGTATTGAAAACTGTAATACTTACTTGAACAGAAAAGTAATGTTGTTATTAGAACCTATAGAGTTCGTTGGAAAAATTAAAAATTTGATTATATTACATGTATTCTTTCGTGAGGAAGCTGAACAAACTGATTGCAATCGGTAACTAGCCAATCATAATGCAACATTTTTTAAATTCTTAATCATTCTTTACTGATTTCACTCACTTTGTTCAATACGAAAGAATACGTATATTAAAGATTAGGTCACAAAGTGGGTGTGTTCTGTGGATTAGATTTGAGGTTACAATTTATTTCTTCTCTATGTTGTATTGTGAATAACTCTTTTATCTATGATTGTGAATAATTAACTCGTAACGTAAGTTACCGCGCTAGTGCTTTTGATAGAAATGGTTTTCTGTTTTAGACTAAAATTTAATGTAACGCAAGAAGATAATTATAATTGTTGAATTGTTCATCTGAATTGTCTTACTGCTTTTGCTTGTTTTACTTTTTAATTGAAAATGTGGAAGGAACTAACATCACTGTTGTGAACCAAACTTCAGGAATACATATTATTTATATACCACAGATACTTCTTACAGAAAAAAAAGCTTTTTCAGAGTTACTGCAGACAGGGAAATGATTTGGATAGAATCAGTTCGCAAATTATGTAAACAGATTTTAACCTCATCAACAAAAAATGTTTTTTTTGCGAAGACCACTTTGAATTAAAATGTTTTAGAAATAGTAAGAAGAATAGCCTCAACAAAAATGTAATACCAACAATATTTTGTGAATCAAATAGTATATCATCATACTTTGATTCTCTTAATACTAACATTTACTTGAAAACTACTCTTACTAGTAATTATCTTTTCTTTTTATTTAACAGAATGAATTTAAGTACCTGCATTTAAAGAACAACTACTGCTTTTGCATTTTTTAGTCATTGCTTAAAATATGAAACCAATAATAGCCTTTTAATTGATATACCTTCTAAAAAAGTCATTCTTTTATACCATTATTGTGTGTAACTTACATGAAATGAAATTCATAAATCATACATCATACATACATCATACATCATACATCAAACATAATTTTGTAAAAAAAAATCTGGTCAATTTTTATATTAGAACTGATATGTTTTTTTTTACAAAACTTTGTAATGATTATGAATTTTATTCCATATATAAGTTGCACTCTGAATATTATGGTATATTTAAATTTGCCGCCAAATGCAGCGTAATAAAGCATATTAGGCAGCGACATCTATTGCATAGTTTTTGAATTACATTCTGAAACCAAAGACGGGTAGCACGGTCATTGCAGTTTCTGTTTTGTATTGCAGCTGCTATTTGTTCGCAGAACGTGTGTAAGATGGCGCCAGTTGCGTCTGGAGCAAGTGGTGCTTCCTATGAAAGACAAGGAAATAAACCCTCTTATTTAGTTACTCATATGGTGATATCTTTCAAACAACTACCTTCATCTCTAGGTCAGGCCGGGTACTTCTGGGACCACCCTCGTATACACCACTCGGCTTAAAGTATTTTTGTCTCTCTGACTTTTCCGCTTCTCTAATTGTAAGTCGAGGATTTTTAGTTTCCATGTCTTGTAAACTATTAGATTTATGAAAATTTTAAAAATTTTAATAGAGATCAATATTATTAATAACTAGATTATTTATAATTTACTTATACCTATAGAGATATTTTTTTTTCAAAATTCAATATAATAAAAATTATTAGCTTTTGAACTAAAACATATGAATAAAATTATGTTTTCTCGGTCTTTTGGTGCAAATATTATTTTAACGAAAATTCCGTGTACGTCAAACGCTTTACATTTTCATGCACTGAGAGTTTCTGCTCAAACATACATTTGGAGAAAGCTATTTATGCTCAATATGAGCAATTAGATTTAACAAGTCTGGGATATAAGAAAATAATCGTATACTTACATATATTTTTAATTGGTCAAAAATTGCCAAATAAGTTATTTTTTAAATACAAAGAAATTTTCTGATACAGCACACATCTACAATTTTCAATGTAGAGGCTTATATAATATGTTTACCTAGGTTATGCATACGTTGGATTTCGTGTACAAATTTATATAAAGGAGAATAATCGATTTAGTTTCGCAAATTCGGCATTCAGTCAAAGGCAAATTTTATTACTCAGCTAAATTGCGTTTCATTTAGATAAGTACATTACATATTTGAGAATAAAGAGGTTATCTTATAGGTTTAGTACCACTAAAATATAATACTCTTTAAAATATTAGTGGTTTAAGATTGCAAGGACATATAATTACAGGATAGCCCCAAAAATTCTTAGAACTTTAAGGGAAAACAAATAATATTAAACATATTGACTCATACATAAATATAGAGGATGAATCTTAAATGTTTTATAAATCTTTTAATTTTCAAAGCAAATGAGTCCAGTGAGTCATTTTCCAAAGTTATATTTATGGGGGTTATTATTTTGTTAAATCATCCGCATGTACATTTTGAGAACTGCTGTCTACATGCTAAGTAATCACGTATGTATGCTAGTCTGCCAAGCTTATGTTTAGAATTTTTTTTAAAATAACATTTTAATATTTTAATTTAATAATGCGGGCTACATCTAATTCTAATGCATAGTGATTTATTTTAAAAAACAGTGACTGTTTTAAGAGCGAAATAAAATAAAATTAGGTAAATAGTAATCTTAGCCCAAATTTTAATTCCATAATAATGAAAACTCTAAATGATTGAAAAATTAATATCAGAAAATTAAAAGTATCATGAAGTATCATTAAAAGTATCATCAATTACGTTATCTAAAAAGGAAATATATTGAATTAGTCGAAAAATTTAACATACTTGCGTAATTACTGAAAATTATCGAAAAATAAAATAAACAGTTAGTTCCCATAAAGTATTTACTCAATAAGGCAAGGTAAAGTTGTCATAACCTTCCCATTCACATTATACAGTAAAAGTTAACACCCCTTATTTGATAGCGGCACATTAAAATAACCCGCAGCACATTAAAAATTAATTTAAAAAATAGATTGCAATACTTATAACAAATATGCATATTCTAATTTTATACAAATCCACTTTAAATAAATTAAAATATTTCTCATCATTGATTTTCTAAGTACTGACATGTTTACCCCAAACTGCAATGCTCGTCTCGAAAATCATGTGAATAATTGAATACTGGAGTTTATATGCTAGTGTAAATAACACGATAAAAATGATATCGCCGAGAACTTTCGTAAAATAAGAGTGGCAAGGGAAGATATTTCAAACTTCCTTTGACGTATCGTTTTTTCTTTCTTTTTTTGTTCTTCCTATCTTGTACCTATTTCATAAAATGCTAGAGTTTAATAGTTCTTTACAATACCGGCAACACTGAATAGTTGATTCCCCATTTATAATTCATATTTATTCTAAACTTGATGTTTTTATTACTATTTTCTCGCAAAAAAACTATTAATTACATTATGCACACTGTAAACTGTACCACTGTTTAAAGTATATGTATGAATTTTTTACTGTTTTGTTTTATTAAGACAATTTTAATTAAAATGAATAAATATTGCCCATAATTATTGACTGTGATATTTTTCTGTACTTGTTTTGTTTAACTAACAGTGATTTACAAAAACATTATTTTAAGTTTTAATGCACAAAACTATAAAAGTATCTCGCTTTTACTTCCAAAATTGCAAAAATTGACGTCAAAAATTATATTCGAACTCGAGGTTGTTCCGTCTTCTCCTAAGTTTTATGGGTCATAAATGTAATGTTGGAAAGGGGCTTGGCAAGCTACCAATCGACCAATTTCCCTCAAATTTATATTCTTTACTATTTTTATACTAGGATAAATACCTTTTATGCCTAATAAACAGCAAGTCACTGTTTATAGTTTTTTTATTAAAGTAAGGATAATAATTGCGAAGACTTTACTTGTATTCGTATTTTTAAAGACAATAATCCAACGAAATCATACCACAGCCGTCAGGAGGTCACGTGATCAGCAGCCTTTTCAATTTTCCGAACCTTGGCGTGTTCCAACACACTTTAAAAATCAGTCAATAATGCATGCATATAAATATATTTCTCTCCTAGGCCAACGATTTCCAATAACATAAATTTTACAAGTTCAACCTGAAGGCGAAACATAAAGTTTTATTCACCAGTAACTTACATATTTGACTAATTGCATTTCCTTTATTTTATTTAATTATTCAGTTTCTATAAATAACGGTATAATTTTTATTTTAGTATAAAGTCAAGATGCCGCAAGGTCCTAAGCCTAGCCCCCTAATGAAGCCCTTCGTGGTCCTCGCTCTTCCTGGAATGTATTTATTTTATAAATACAACCAGTACAAGCGGAAAAGGAAAGAAAATGCAACAAAGCGACTTGCTGAAAGGGAATTGCAACATTTAAACTATAAAATAGTAAGTAGATACCTACTAGTAAGTTTGACTCAGAACTGTACAGGGTGATACCCTCCTTTATTATTCCTTTGCTGTTAAAACATACGTAAAAAGTTTTGCACAATTAGAATATGACATCAGAAACGATTGAACACCATTTTAAAAATCTGTTGCCAATTTTATTTGAAGTTATTAATATTAATGTATTTAATTTACCGATATCTACTCTGAAACTTGAAGGTAAAACATCGACTATTTTTAAGATTTTTGTACTTTTTTAAGAGAAAAAGTTATACACGGCTGGAAAATCCACATGGTCCATCTGCCTTTACATGAGAGCGACAAAGTAAAGTAAAGAAATCCGTGCGATAGACAAGGATGGGTATAGCGAAAACGTTTCATAATTTGAATAGTCACTCCCACTTCTAATGGGCGGTGATTATTCAGATTATGAAACGTCTTCACTATACCCATCCTTGTCTATTCTTGTCGCTCTCATGTAAAGGCAGATGGACCATGTGGATTTTCCAGTCGTGTATTTGTTTGTTACCTATACAACAAACCGTTTTCGAGATAAACGCAGTTAAAGATACCATACCATATCTTAATAAAATTAAAATATAATTATAGACCACTGTCAACATTACAAAAGAGTATGGTTGAAAACACAAGACCACAAGATAAAATTGATGAAAGGTTCCTTTGACCAGACAAGGTGCATTATATGTGTTTGAGGTCGGTGAATCTGAATCCGATACCCGTTTTGCTCCAGAATGTCAGGTTTTTCTCCCAATCTCAAAAAGCAGCTAAAAATGGTAAATCAATATCAACCCTGCAACCTAATCAAAGTTCATAATTCCATATCTTTANATAAGTAAGGAATCAGTTGCCTATGTATTTTCCTCAATACTGAATCATTTTATCTCACTTGGCAACGCCGTGCATCCCAGTTAAAGGTCCAAGGTCATCGCGGCGAAATTGACCACATCAAAGAGCTGTCGCATATGGTTGTAATATGTGCTACTAGTAAGTTTGACTCAGAACTATACAGGGTGATACCCTCCTTTATTTATTATTCATTTGCTTTTAAAACATACGTAAAAAGTTTTGCACAATTAGAATATGACATCAGAAACGATTGAACACCATTTTAAAAATCTGTTGCCAATTTTATTTGAAGTTATTAATATTAATGTATTTAATTTACCGATATCTACTCTGAAACTTGAAGGTAAAACATCGACTATTTTTAAGATTTTTGTACTTTTTTAAGAGAAAAAGTTATACACGGCTGGAAAATCCACATGGTCCATCTGCCTTTACATGAGAGCGACAAAGTAAAGTAAAGAAATCCGTGCGATAGACAAGGATGGGTATAGCGAAAACGTTTCATAATTTGAATAGTCACTCCCACTTCTAATGGGCGGTGATTATTCAGATTATGAAACGTCTTCACTATACCCATCCTTGTCTATTCTTGTCGCTCTCATGTAAAGGCAGATGGACCATGTGGATTTTCCAGTCGTGTATTTGTTTGTTACCTATACAACAAACCGTTTTCGAGATAAACGCAGTTAAAGATACCATACCATATCTTAATAAAATTAAAATATAATTATAGACCACTGTCAACATTACAAAAGAGTATGGTTGAAAACACAAGACCACAAGATAAAATTGATGAAAGGTTCCTTTGACCAGACAAGGTGCATTATATGTGTTTGAGGTCGGTGAATCTGAATCCGATACCCGTTTTGCTCCAGAATGTCAGGTTTTTCTCCCAATCTCAAAAAGCAGCTAAAAATGGTAAATCAATATCAACCCTGCAACCTAATCAAAGTTCATAATTCCATATCTTTATGACACGAGAACCCAAAAACACAATAACCTATAACCCCAAAACCATAACCTCAAAACCAATAAACCTAAAACTCTATAATTTCAATAGCCATGTCCTTTATCGTCAAGATGGATAGGAATAGTCACAGATTCGACAGATAAGAGATAGAAGATTTTGTTTTTGAATTGTGCCCAAAGATACTCGCTAAACAAAAATAGCAATCATTCTCATGATTTGTTGGTTGGAGAAGCAAAAGTTTGTTTTTTCTGTTTCTTAAGTTGCACATATCGTTTTTGGAGTCCAATGAGAAATTGTCTACTCTCTTATTGCACAATATTCTTCTTGTAGCATTATACTCATCAAAGGCCAAGTTACCTACCAATGTAGAGCTGCGATTGCTTGAAGACGACGCCTTCACCCTGACCAACTGCCGATACTGGGCTTCCGACTCCCTACATCGTACTTTTTTTTCCGTACCTACCCTGACGGTATGAGCGCCACTATGCAAAGACTCTTCCGGATCACGGAACAACTCCGTTGCCCATCGTCATTAAGTGGAAGTACCCTGGATGCAGACCCACGAAAAAAAATTGAGATTGGGTGTTTAAATCTCACGTGTATGTCTCTTTGTTGCTGCATTGTGAGGTTATTGGATTATAGGGTTTTGGGTTATGGATTTTGAGGTTATGGAGTTATGAGTTATTACGTAGTCAGAGTTTTAACTTTTTGAGATTCATTGTTTGAATCTCCCGTGTAAGTCTCTCCGGTGCTGCATTATGGGGTTATGAGGGTTTTAGAATTATGGAGTTTTGGGTTTATGGGTTTTGAAGTATGGGTTTTGGGGTTATAGGTTAATGAGTTTTTGGGCGAGTTTGATAGAAAAATCTGACGCGATGGAGCAAAAGGGTCTCGGAGAGTATGAATAAAGTGTAAAAGAATAAATATCACTATCACTATCACCAAAGCTTTTAGAAAACTCGAGAGTGAGTGTGAAATTACATTAATTTCTTTATAAACTAATAACTACACATACTTTATCTTAACTATGTGAGACCGATGTCTCCAAAAGTATTTATTTTATCTGACGTTTGGTCGAGAAACAATTATTTGAGGTCTGTTTTGTAGGTAACATAATATGTTATTGTCTTTAAGTAGGGAGTTAAATAGTCGTACAATCTAGCAGCTTAATTTAGGAAACATTTTATTTCCCCAGTTTTTCTAGGAACTGGAACCTTTATTCTAATTTTATCTTGTTCAGTGTTATGAGTGTGGTTTATATTTTCTTTGCTTTGTTTATACAGGGTGATTCACAACTTATCCAAAAAAATTTGGGAATAGATGGGTCATGAAAAATGGAGTCGATATCGTAAAAAAAACTTTTGTAAAATCCTTATAGTTTCCGAGAAAAAGAATTATTGAAATTATAGTATTTACAACCTTTACATCGCTGGACTACTGTAGTCTCTAGCGTCATTCGCGTTGTGCGTTGTACGCAATGCCCTGTACGCAATGCGCTGTTTCTCCACGTAGCCCCAGGTGATTTTGAATAGTGTTTACATTAGGTTTTCAAGCGTCAAAAATGGCTTACGTGTATCGCAAATCGGAGTTGATGAAGATCGTTTCAATTTATGGTGAAGAGAGAAGACAACATTTGTGCTATGCTGAAGCAAGACATTTGTGTTAGTTCGTAGAAACTGTGTAAGACGGTAAAAATGTTGAACAGTTGTTGTAACATCAGACATGTCAAATTATTTTATTAATTAAAACCACAAATAAATTTTATTAATTAATAACAATAGCGATAAAAGCAGATGAATTTACTTATATAAGATAGGTGTGACAAAATTTTATTTATTGTCAAATTATTTTATTAATTAAAACCACAAATAAGTTTTATTAATTAATAACAATAGCGATAAAAGCAGATGAATTTATTTACTTATATAAGATAGGTGTTACAAAATTTTATTTATTGTCAAATTATTTTATTAATTAAAACCACAAATAAGTTTTATTAATTAATAACAATAGCGATAAAAGCAGATGAATTTATTTACTTATATAAGATAGGTGTTACAAAATTTTATTTATTGTCAAATTATTTTATTAATTAAAACCACAAATAAATTTTATTAATTAATAACAATAGCGATAAAAGCAGATGAATTTACTTATATAAGATAGGTGTTACAAAATTTTATTTATTTCTTTCCTTGGGAAAGAAATTCTTTCAATTTTTTGTCCGTTCATGTTGTATGCTTTGTCTTCCACGATGTCAGGTTTTACAGTGGACCAATTTCCAGTGCCATGCAGGAAGTATTATTAAATCATTTTCGTACTGCCCTTTTCGATTTTTCTTTACAAAATTGTATTTGTAAGAATTCCCTGTACATACAAATTTTTTTTTTGGATAAGTTCAGAATCACCCTGTATTGATATTGAGCCAACAATGTAAATGTCTTAAATTGTAAAGTTTCGATTCTTTAAAAGTTAATTTCGTGGAATAAAATATGTTTTTATTTCACATAACTTTAATAAAAGTGAGTTTGGTTCTCATTAGAAATTATATGTTGTTTTTTTTCGCACCACTTCATGCAGTTAGTCCATATCGCAGTTAAGATTCAATAAGTGCATAATATATCGAGTAACTCTAAGTTATTAGATTATTTCAGAACTTACTTCGATTTAAATTTTGAAAATTTGCACGCTAGGGTTGTTGGGTGTGCTCTTTTCAAATCTATAATAATTTTGTTCCTGTAACATTTCCGGAAGTTGTCGTCAACTTTATTATTTTAAATGGAAAACTCTGTATATTTTTAGCTTTTTAGGAAAAAATAAGAATAATCAGAACCTACTTTAAAGCCGTGCGTATTCTATAGTTAGACAGATAAAGCAACAATATTTGCAGGAGCAGGAGCTAAATATCTGAGTTGCATAACCGTATCTTCAGAGTTACCGAATCTTATATAGGGTGATGATAATTCAATACCGAGTTTGGTCCACTGAAAATCATCTAAATTTGATTTTTTTGTCCTGGAACACCTTGTATATTTTCAAATTTGGATGAACAAATTTATTCTCTTTCCATACACACTAAGGTTCTCTATACTTATCTCTTCTAGATTTTATGTTATTTGAAGTTATTTGTGTACTCTACTGAAATAGATTAATATTATTATTA